GGCATTACAGGGCTTACCATTGGTCTTCCCTGAAGGCTTCGAGGTCCACTGCTCATTATCGAGGAGGTCTGGGTGGACCCACATCACCTGCCCTGACGGCAAGGTCTGTGATACTAAGCCCTTTCCTCGTTGATTGTGAGGATCATCGTTAGTAATCTTCAACACCGCCTTAGGGATGGGAACTAATCCCTCTGGCACCTGAACCTTCGGAAGATCGGTTCCGAAACTCAAAGTGATCATATTCGTGGTCACCTTCTTTTGCACTTTCTCTTTCTTTAGGACTCCCGCATCGTAAAGGGCCAACAGTTTATCCTTGAGGATGTAGCACTTAGAGGTGTAGTGACCGAGGAACCTGTGGTATGCACAGTAGCTTGAGTCGCCAGTCTTGTTGGCCTCCTCAGACTTGGTGACTTCCGATAGCTTAATCCTGTTGCTCTTGAGAAGAGTGTCGAAGGAGGCCACCACTTGATCCTTCCTGAAGTCGGATTGCCTGGGAGGACGTTGCTCAAAAGGCTTTGGCTTCTGCCGTTAGGCCGGAACAGAGTCAATAGCCATAATTTCTTTTCCTCTTGATCGAGGAGGGTTTCTAGGCGCATTTGGTTCCGGGGCTCCCCGTTTGGCATTGGGATCTTCGGCCTCTAGTCTCTTGATCATATTCTCCACTGCTCGCCTTGGCGCACAAGCTCTTTCCAGGTTCGGGTCTCCACCACACTGACCTTGGAAAGGATGTGGATCGAGAGATTGTTATGGCACATCTCGATCAGGGTAGTCTCAGAGACCTGATCTCGGTAGCCAACCGATCGGTTCCTGAATCTCTTTACGAAGTCGTTGACCGACTCCGACTTCTTTTGCTTTTCCACAAGGAGGGTGGCCATCGACACTTCTGTGTCATCATCAAAGAAGCGGGCCAAGAAGAGTCTCTCTGTGTCGGCCCAAGAAGAGTCTCTCCGTGTCGGCCCATAAGGTGATGGAGCCCGGTTCTAACTTACGAAACCATTCGAAAGCCACTCCCTTGAGGGTGCTGATGAACAGCCACATGAGAATGGCGTCGTTCCCCGTGAAGAATCCAGTTTAGGACATGAAGTAGTAGATGTGTTGCGAGGGGGATCCTCTACCATCAAACTGCACCAAACTTATAGGCTTGAACTTTGCTAGGTAAGGAACATTATCCTATTCGATTGGATAGGGCCTGACTATCCCCAGCTTGTTCATGTTATGTTGGAGCTTCAGGGCGTTGAATTGGCTTTGAAACTCGTCGAGCCTTTTGTCTCGGGTAGTCCCTCCAGTGTGCGACGTCTCCGCCGATGACTTAGAGGAACAATCTGACTGTGGATCAATACTATCCTCTTGTTCTGTCATCTAACTAGAAGTGGGTCTCGGCTCCTTATCGCCCGTCGGCCCCCGCGGGGTGCGCGTCACTCTTTTCTTCTTCTTTTTGCTCATAAGTTTCTCCAACATCTCTTTGATAGGCTCAATGGCGGCCTGTTGTTCCTCAAATTTCTTAGCGATCATTTGGTCATCCGAGGATTCAGCCATGTGCACCTTCGCCCGCACGGGGTGCATCAAGTTTGAGGTCCGGGACGTGGCCTCCACTGAGCAAACTTCGTCTTCTGCATCGAATAGGAGCGCTAGGAGCGCGTTGTCAAATAGAGTGGCTCCTATTTTGAGACGCGTGCACGAGGATATTCCTCCGCGCTCGCGTTGCTCTAGCGAGTGGTTCAATCCCGTAAAGAAGTCCGAGTCGGAGGATTTTGGACACGTCGTTTTGACCTTCCTCGTCATATTGACTGTGGCAGATGGGAGCTCTAGGTCGTCAATTGCCCTTCTCCCGTGACGGTTACGCCTTCGGCGTGAGGGTTGCGGTCCGAAGGGCTTCTGAGTAAGTCTCTCAAAAACTAAGGGCTTTGATGTTTTCACACACTGGAAGTCGGTGAGTACCGCCTGAATGAGTCTCTCGCAATGGCATCGATGGTTCGCCTCATGAATAGTGCGCTTGTGGGTTAGATGATCCTGGAGTTCTCTCGTGGGCTGCAGGTGGCAACCCCCAGGGTGAGATAGGACGGACACAGAAGTGTATGCAGAAGGTTCGAATGAACTCTCTTGTGCACACTGCGTGTGATCACCGAGCGTCGAATTTAGGTGAGATCGCTTTGACAGGCGAGTTCTTACGTTTGGGTGAGCTTTAGCCATTCGGCGAGCTTCGACCCCCTGCATGCTCAAGTTAGTCTGACAGGGTTCGCATGTTGCTTTACCTTTGTTGTTAAGGCTTGCTCGTATGTGAGGCTTGCCTGCTCGTGCAGACCTGCCTAATTTGGGTGCTTTTTTCAAATTAGGGATATGGCCCGAGAAACAAAGGTCGCCTGCCTCGGTGAGCGGGCTTTGTCTGGTTGGTTTGCCTTGGCGGCTAGGATTGCTTGAAGTACCAGGCTCGTAAGGACGAGAAGTGTTGCTGTCGAAGCGAAGCCTGCCCGAGAGCGAGGGCTCGTCTGTCAAGGCGAACCCATCGACATAGGGAGGACTGCCTTTCCGCCCAGCATTCTTTAGGCCTGAGTAATAATTCAGGCCATCATAGGAGGCAAAGGCTTGGGCTTCTCGTCGTGCAAGTGCCTGTCGCCTCTATCGGCGAGCTCTCCTAGAGAGAGGGGCCTCTGTGCGAAGCACAATGGTATGGTCCACTTCAAGGTGGGCGACCGTCTCCTCCTAAGCGGGTGCCGACGAGGATCGCTTAACGACCCACCTAGTAACCTTTCGCTCCGTCTTGAATGACTTAGTGGGNAAGGTCGGGCTAGGCACACGACTCTATGGCGCTTGCGGGATGCACTCCCACTAGAGGAGGAGGATGATAAGTACTCTTCGTACCTGGCCTGGTCAAACTCGATCAGAAGGGACTCTACGGTCGTCCCGACTGCGACTCCATCGAACTGCACCACTACTATCTCGGTCGAGGAAATGGTTTCTCCTACTGTAGTCGCCATCTTCTGTACGTGTAAAATTTGATTTCCCGAAATAGGGGATTTTGTTTGTATTGATAAGAATTGCTTATTACAAACTAATGAATTAAAGTTACAACAGAAACAGAGGGAATGCCCTCCTTGTTTAACGTGGGGTCTTTGGTAGCGATAGGATGCCTCCCTCAGTGTTTGAACCGAGTTTGCTTCCCTTGGACGATTCGAGCAGAGTCGTAGAGGAGCTTTAGTACACAGTAGAAGCTCGTGCTGGTCGGGTTTGAGTTCTTGAGTCCGGTGGCGATCAAGGATGAAGACTGGAGCAAGGTGCTATAGTGCAAGAGCGATGCAAAGAGCAGGTCGTCGAGTTATCAATCTCCGAATTGCCAATCCAAGATCAACCGAACCCCTCCTCTCCTATGGCCAGGAGAGTCCTTCTTATAAAGAGGAGACAGTATGGCCACTTTCCTGAATCATGGGATGTGACCACACACTGTTGAGAGATATCATGCCTCTCAACAGTACCATGGGCGGCTGCTTAACAAGTACGGGGTATTGTATTCTCTTTCATGTCGTGCGGGTGGGAAGGCCCATCCTTATACACGTCACTACAGCCGCCTAGTAATCATGCAAACCTGGTAAGATCGCTGATCGCCTAGACACTAGCTTGAACGTACAGGCGGATCCGGTTACTTGGACGAACCTAACTTGTGCAAGCGAATCTGGTGCGCAGGCGAGCTTAGCGTCTGCGTGGATTTGACGGGTCACCTGTACCATGGGCGGTTGCTTGAGGGGCTCGAGACACTATAGTCTTTCCCCTCACGCCGTGGGAAATAGGAAGGGCCATCCCTGCGCACGACGTTGCAGCCCCCTAGTACACAAGCGGGTCTTGACGAGATTGCTAACGTCTTCGGACGTCCAGGCGAGCCTGGTGTCTAGATGAACTTGACTCATGCGGGCGAGTTGAGCATGCAAGCGAATTTGAAGATACTTGACTCGTGCAGGCGAGATCTGCTTCCGAATGGGTCTGGCCCGTGCTGACGAATCAAGCATTTAGGCGGATTTGAGCTTTTAATCTGCAGGTTTCTGCAGTTAGGGCAATTTTTATAGCCTATAGATCAGTAGCTCTTTAATTTCCAGTATTTTCTCCAACATCAAAATTCGTAATCAGATAGCAGCTGCCTTCATTCAATTGTGATTTAAATTTATCTATCAATTTTTTCTTGATCGTTGCTTGAATTTTGGCTCCCTTTCATAAAAAAAAGAGAATTTCATGAATGTATAATATTGAACTATTAACATTAAAGTAAAATAATAATTGAAATGAAAATCAAATTATGAAATAGTGAAAAACATTACCTTTTCATCCAGCAAAAGCAGCTCAATAGTGTTGATTGCATTCGGATTATTGAATTTCATTGCATTCCATAACCTTATGACTCTCACCATCACTTTCCAAGTTTCTTTGTCTGGTTTGATTTCAGAAATAAAATCCAGTTTTGGTGCCATATTCAATCTGTTTATCAATATAAATACATGTATAATGACAAATTTGGTAATTTAAATGATAATGCAAATTATCTAATAATAATAGTACCATAGGAATAAAATATTGCGAGAAGTTAGCATAAAAAAGAAGCAGCCCATAAAAGTACTATAAAACAAAAGTAAATCTGAATATCGATCATGCAATCATCAATATAACAGAATATATTGAACCAAATTTTATGAAATAACCACAATGCAATGTAATAACTATGGTAGATCCCAACTGTAAAGTGTTTTTTTATAATTGGCTATCTTACATTCTGAAATATTTCTTTAAAGACCATATTTTTTTGTGTTGTTTGCAACCTGACCATCCTTTTCATGGACCAAAATTGTCAAACCCTTCTTACTTCTAACTCTAGAGATGGCCACATAAAATTGTCCATGACTAAACACAAGCCTTGGAAGGTATAATCCAACATTAGATAGTGACTGACCCTGACTTTTATTTATTATCATAGCAAAAGAAATTGTTAAAGGATATTGTCTTCTTTGCAGTTTGAAAGGTCATCTTGAATCTAATTGAGTCATAACCATTCGTGAAATAAAAACTTTCATCCTAATATTGTTGCCTGATTTAACTTTTGCTTCAATGACATGATTGCCCAACTGAGTGATAATTAGCCTTGTCTCGTTGCATAAACCAGATGATTGATCTACGTTCTTCAATAACATTACAAGAACTCCAACCTTAAATTTAAGTTTGTGGTTAGGTACTCCAGAGCACCGAATACTGTTAAGAAAATCTGGAGTATGTAAATTTTCTTGGAAATCAATATCTCCATCAGCATTACAAACACTATCAGAACTCAAATACACCCTTTCTTCTCCGAGAATTAATGAAATTACATAGTCATTAACCATTTCAATGATTTCAAGCGCCGGAGCGAGAATGGCTCTATTTTGAAGGTAATTCACATCATACAAATCATCTAATAGATTCGGATATGTGCTTTCAACAATAGCAGCAAGAGGATTAGTGAAATCTTTGATGAGTAGATCATTTGGCACTTCAATCAATGCTTCTCCATCATTAGGGTCACCAAGTCTATCGTCACTAATACTTAATAACCATTCTGAAAATTCTTTTAATTCGAAAACTTTATTGTTCGAAGAGCTTGATTGTAACCTCATATTTTGAGAGAGAGTCAAAACTTGACAGGTGTCCCATAAATATGAACTATTTATCATGGCAAACACAATATCGACCCTATTGTCTTTAGGAATCACTGGCAATATTTATCTAAAATCTCCCCCGAACACAACCATTTTTTCCCTGAAAGGTTGATTTAAACTATTGAGATTTGAAACTCTAAGCTCGTCTCTTAAAGTTTTGTCAAGAGCTTCAAAACAAAACCTATGGACCATAGGTGCTTCGTCCCAAATGATGAGCTTTGTTTTACTTAATAGCTTAGCTAGAGGACTACCTTGTGTTATGTTGCATGTTGAGTATTCAATTATACACAATGGGATATCAAATCGTGAGTGAGCAGTCCTTCCACAGGCAACAAAAGGGAAGCAATACCACTTGAAGCTATAGTAAGTACAATGTCACCTTTTGAATGTAAGCCAGAAGTTAATGTTTTCCACAGATATGTTTTTCCTGTACCACCATATCCATAAACGAAAAAACTCCACCATTATTCTCAAAAACAACATCGATAATTGTATCATACACATGTCTCTGTTCATTAGTTAAGCTACTTAGAAGTTCATTATGTTCGATTGCTAGAGACTCATTGTCGTAGTTTAACTCATTTTGGATGAGCTTGTTCTGAAAATCAGTAAGATTTATGCTTTCTGGAACGGGAAGTGGAGGATAATCACCCAAAGTTTTGACGTTTCCTCGCAAAATCTTTTCTATTTCTGCAAGAGCTAAACTCTTTAGCTGATCATCATTTAGTTGCAAATCTGATAAGTAATAGGAATCAAATTAGAAAGAGACTTGTAACATATGATTGAATAATATATTCAAAGTTGTTAAAGAACAAAAAAAAGATAATAAAAGGAATAATCTTAAAATTATAAAACACAAAACAATAAGAGAATAGAATAATCATCATAGAAACACAGTTTTACATTAGAATAGATTTATCGAATAAACTGACATAATTGAAGTTACAACTTTTCCTTACAAAATATTTTCAATAATAATGAGTATATTAGCTAAAATAATATAAGACAAAAAAACCGTAAGAAATATGCAAAAAATAAAATATGACATACATGTTATTACATACTGTTAAATGAAAGGAAGAAAATTAAGTTGAAAAATATTACCTTTATATTGTAGCAATTTTCTTTGATTATATCGGATATCTTCTGCAATTAAGTGGCATGTCTTCTCCCATACAAATTCAGGTCTAGACAAAGAGTTGGACATTAGCAAAGTTGCAAATAAACTTCTTAAAAGTCGTCCAGAACCCCAGAAGGATGCTTCCATAATCCCGTCAATGTATTCCTTGTCATCATAAAGTAAACCTAAAGCATGGCAAACTTCTTTGAATGTGGGATAGACAACACTGTTAACCGTCTGAATATCTTCATAGCATTTAGGTCCTCTTACTATATTGAGCAGAATTCTCAAATAGTATAATTCTTCACAACTTGGAGGTATATAATAAAGCCTCCCAATCGCAAATCCTCGTTTTCTTGGTTTCCATTCATGCAATTTACTTTTCCATATAAACTTCATAGGAAACTCATTGTACGTTAGAAGTCTAGCTTCAGGATACACTTTGTTTGCTTCCATCCAAGCTAAAAACATTGCCTGCTCAATGCTAGGTCTATTGATCACTTCGTCAATTGTATCATTGTCTTCATAGATAACATATCATTCATTCAAAAGATGAAAACACAATCTTTCTACCGCAGGTTCTCTTTTATGAATTTCATAGCCAAATATTCTCCAAGCTGCTTCACATGGAGAAATATATTTGCAATCATAATATATTTTGATTTCATCAACTATTTGATCCTCACCGCTTGCAGAACTTTGATATAGTGCTACGGTGACACGATCATGCCCTTTGTTTATGTATTTAAATAAGTACTTGATGGATCTCGACTGATTGAACCATTCAATATTAACATGTGTCTGGTACTTAATGAGAAGTTTAGAATTGTATGGAACAACAAATCGATTATCAAGTTTGACACCATTCTTTTCGATAATCCTGCCATCATCCCTTCTTCTAAATACTGGATAACCATAATTATCAACAATGGTTCTATGGACAAACTTCCTTGGGAAATGCTTAGAGCATTTGCCATCCTTCATGCATGGAGAATGTATATTGGAATGGCCACATGGACCATGAAAATCATATAATTTTTCACGCACTCATATAATTCAGCATTTTGTTCTTTATCCAGAATTTCAGCAAAAATAATCTTATCTATGTCATCAGCAATAGGATATTTGTCTTCTGGAACCAAGAATAGTAGAATATGAGCATGCGACAAACCTCTTTTTTGAAATTCAACTGTATATGCAACTGCGATATGAAATATTAAATTCATTAACAAAAGGAACTAAAACCAATTCAGTGTAAAAGTACAAAAAGAAAAGAAATTTTGATTTCATTAATTAACAAATAAAAGTAAAATTAATTCAATGTAAAAGCACAAAATGATAACTTAAGTAATACTATATAAGGACATCTAATTTATAAATATTATTTAAAGGCACATAAATATAGTCTTTACATATTAGGTATTCTTATAATTGAATTTAAAAAATTAAATATCAAGACACACATGACAGAGAATGTATATTAGTCAATTTCATGTAATTTTGTTATAAATAGATATAATAATAAGCGAAACACTTATCAAAAATAGCTTATGTATGATGCTTCATGGGGGAAGAATAACAAACAACATATACATTAAAAAGAGAGATGTTCTCATACCAGCTTTGACAGAACCAAACAATTTGTGAGGCTTCAAATTTCGAATAAGTTCGTCAAGTTTTAGTTTGAAGACTCTACAAACAATGTCAGGTCTATCCTCTGGATTACAACCATAGCTCTTAACAAATCTTACTATCTCTGGTCATTTTGGATTACATGTGAAAGTGATGAACAAATCTGGATATCCAGCGCATTTGTAAATAGTCGTAGCATCTTGATAATTTTGTATCATGTATCACGTACCTTTAGTGAAAGAGGATGGTAAGATAATGCGCTTCCCCCGAGAAGCCGGATTAGTTTCACCTCTTAAAACAGCTTCAATAAGACCTTTGTATAAGTCAGTTCTAATCTCCTTTTGATGATTCCTAATGTATGATAATCTTCCACTCTCAATCATTGTATAAGCATCTACTATAAACTGCTGTAATAATATCCTTGATAGTAATATCGTAGGTGCTTGGTTATCTCTATTTTGAAGTCTAAATGCAAAAAAAAATTCTCTCATTGTAAGCTTTATTTTTATACGAGATGCATTATTTGAATCTCTATGCAAAGTATTCTCTCAATAACCATCTTCCCCGTAGGGAAACAAAATAGGATACTACATCGGTAAGTAAGATGGGTACAGGTCATTAATTCTTTTAAGCTCACCACTTTGTGACTCTACTATTATATCTCTATCGACATTGAAGCTATCAACATCTCCTACGATAAGAGCAGCAACCTCAGAAGTTATAGGAAGATTATAAGTCCTGCCATCATTATGCCTTTTACGGATCAACCTTAGGCTTATATTTGTGGATTCCTTGTAATCAAACCTCTCTTTAGCCATTCTAAAAGATTTTGCAAATGAATTATATTCATCAAACATCTCTTTCAAACTTTGAGCAATGGTAGGATCTAACTGTCTAGAATGATTAGAAGAACTGCAAAAAATATTTCATTCACAACAATTAGTTTAAGTGTTTATAAGTAAACCAATAACAAATAATAAAAATATGATAATTTAAAATAAAGTTATGCAATGTATAACTTGTAATTGACAAAGTAATCACTACTTAACATAGTTAATTATTTATTCTACAGAAGTGAACATGATCTTATTACATGATACTTATATTTTAAAAGCCATTTAAAATATAAAGTGATACATACCTGACTACACGTATTCGGTTTGATATTTCATTTTCTGTATCATAAATGTATAATTGGGTAAATTTTGGTGCAGAACCGGGTGTTGGTAACAAACTTCCAATCCTATGGTAATTCTGGTCATGTAGTCTAAAAACATATGGCCCTAGCCTATTGTTTATAGAAGTATCAACTTTTCCTCCCATTGAAGTGAATGGGAATATCATGTTATATGCACGATTATTTTCTCTAAAATGTTTGCTCAATCTACTCTCAGTGTCAGTCAAAAGGAATTTCAGAAGCTCCGGAGGATTTTTCAATAAAGGTAGTTGAATTTTTCCTTTCGAGCAACAAAGAGAAAATGTAGGAGTAGTAGTATTCTTATCCTTACAGACACGTTCATCAAACCACATATTAGCATCACAGTAGCTGCATGACCATATCGGATCTCCCACATCAAAATACTCTGTTTGGAACTTTATTCAAGAATCAAGCATGGTCTTAACGTAGATAAATAATAAAATTTTTGAAAAGCAAGAATAACTTACGATCATGAGTAGAATTAGTTTGTATTTGAGCATCTACATTAGTACCTTCTGCATCTATAAAGATTCAATCAAGTAGCACATCATTATTAAAAAAAAGGTTGAAACTAACAATGCTAATAATGAGACTTACAAATTAAATGACAAAATGATATAAAATAGAGAAATAACATATAATTTCCAATACCTCTGTTTAATAGATAAACTGTTTGTGTTGAAGTTTGAAAAGGAGAATTTTGACCAGAGATTTCTAATGCTTTATTGGAAAATAACATTGACAGATAATCTCCCTTTCCGGCGTGATGTTCAAAAATAGATTGAGATGGAGAATCCATTGTATAGCAAGATATTCCTTCCGATGCTTGTATATTGGACTCTTTATCACTAATGCAGATTGTCTGAGAAGATCTCATTCTCTTTGATTTATATTCCGATGTGGATGCAACATTGGCAGGACAATTATGTTAGACCCTAGAGGGGGGTGATTAGGGTCTTATGCTAATCTAATCCGATTTTATGCCAATTAAAACTAATTAATAAGTTA